CCCCCCCCCCACACACACACTCACTCACACGCTAAAGTGGTGGAGGTCGCGCACCACCGCTCTGCTGTGTGCGGCGACAAACTATCTAAGATTCCCTCCATGGCGGCCACCGCGGCCCCCATGCCCATACCTTGTTGGAGTACTCGACGACGTCCCGCATGCTGCGAGGGTACCCGGACACCAGGTAAGTCTTGGCTCCCGGAGCCATCTTCATCTCCAGCATCAGCACCTCCGTCACAGTCTTGCTTGATAATTGAGCAAAGTCTTGCATTTCTGAAGGGAAGAAAAAAAAAACACGGGTTCTTTTTAAAATTATCTATGCGTTCTAGCAGCACTTTGAAATACACACTTAAATATGATTTTTTGTTTCTAAGTGCTTTTGTACTTAAAGTGACCCAACGCAATCATGGTGTAGAGTCTACACTGTAGACCCTTATCGGAAAGTCTGCAACGATCAATCAAAATTTGGCGTTATTTTGATTGATTATTTGCAGACTGATGGACCCGTCAAACTAGTTTGTCAGTACGCGTGATGCACTCACCGTTGCCGACACTGTACTGCTGCAGGAGGTCGGTCATGTTGATGTGCGTGACGCCGCGCCTCTCCTGCATCAGGTTGTCGCAGTGTGTCACCTTCCCGCTGCCCGGACCACCTGCAACGACAGATTTGCGCTGGAACATTGCGCGGTGGGGTGGACCCATGTGGCGCGATCCGGAAGCAAACCCTCTGAAACATTATCCCACCTTGCCTCCCTCCCGTTTTCTCCTATCTCGAGCTCGCAAGAACACCGTAAGGCAAAGTAAAGTAAGTACATCCTGTATCTCCCGAGGTGAAAGGGTCGCTGAGGAGAAGAAATATGCTCCTTACACTTGGAACTGATTTATCTCCCCGGCACCCATTTTAATTGAGGATGACTATGGCGATGTCAGGGGAGAGATTTACATTTTCGCATGATCCTATCTGCTGATACCGCAACAACGAAATCGCCCCCTTCCCCTTCCAGCGCGGCGAGCGGCCGGCGGGAGCCTCGCGGGACTCGCATTCCCAAACAGACAGTGCGTGCTTGTGAACCATCGATTAAAGCGGCGGAAGACAGAGTGAGGGAGTTGGGCGTGGGG